GGCTGAGGCGGTACAACGGGCGGATAGGTGGGTGGAGGGTCGGCGGCCCTGCTTGTTTGTTTGTGTTGTTTGGGATTTGTTTGCTTGCTTCTTTTAGAGGCTTTTTATTAGTGTGTTTATTTATACTTGTACTTATTTATTTACGCCAATTCTTGCAGAAAAATTGTATTCATATGTATAAGTATACGTATTATCATCAAAATTGTGGCAGCAATTCTTAATTTTTGACTAAAGAACAATATTATTATTATCTGTATTGCATCAATTCCCTTAGCTGAAACTTTACCGTAGATCTGTATTGCAACAATTCCGTAGCTTTACCGTAGATCTGTATTGCAATAATTCCTTCTACAATGAAACAATTCCCCCAGTGGAAACTTTACCGTACATCTGTATTGCGACAATACCCCTAGTTGACACATTTGTATTCAACAACTCCCACGTAACCGTAGATCTGTATTACAACAATCACCCCTAGCGGAATCTTTACCGTACATCTGTATTGCAACAATTACCCCATTCCATGCCCATAGCTTTGTATTGCAACAATTTCTCTGCAATGTCAACCTTTCCAGACAACTACTGCGATAACGACTTGCCGATGTACACCATGATGTCCACGGCCTCTGAACCAGCTCTTATCCAGACCAGCGACATACAGGTAAGTGAGAGTAAGAGTGAGAGTAATCTTTCTCTTTGGCGTTCTGGTTATGCAGTTTTAGAAGATGTATAATCCATGAAGGAAAGATTAATTCGAGTTTGTGTTGAGTATTCTTACTCTTTTGTGTTTGGGTTGTACAGTTTTAGTCAGAAGATATATAATCCATGAAGGAGAGATTAATTCGAGGTTGTGTTAAACATTTTTTTAAAAGTTGTATTTAACATTATTTGATGTCTGATTTTGCGGTTTTCATTTAGAAGTATTCTTTACTAAGTAGTATAAAAGTGAAATGATGAAATTTATATTGCTTTATATGAGTATCTTTTCTCATTTATTACATATTTCAGATCAGAAAAGCTATCATCTAGAATGTATCCAATCTTTAACCGAACAGGTTGTTTGAAAAATATCATCTAGAACGTATCCAATTTTTACCCATTTTTTATTTTTAAACAGAAAACTCTATTGCTTATTTCTTTTTATCAGAAAAACTAACACCTAGAACGTATCCATGTTTTAATATGTCCAAACACCTTTCAGGGAATCTGAATAATTCTCTGGTTGACTCCACAGGTGGGAATCAACCACTCGATCAGTTTCCAGCTGGCCATCGGCTGCGGCGCCACGTGGGACAACCAGGTGGTCCCTGTGAAGTGAGTCTGGGAGAATTTTCGTTGGTTTTGATTTTTTTTTGTTGCCAAGTGCGGATATTGTGTTGTTTTTATGCGTGGTAGATGTTTTATTTTAATCACTATGTATTTTGGATTTTTTTTGTGTAGTTATACGTATGTAAAGTAATTTATGTATGTTTCTATCACGGGCTGTTGTTACTTATGATTGATCATTTTTTATTATATTCTTTCCTTCCAACTAAAATTCTTTCTCTTCTATTCCAATTTTTAAAATTTCTTTCCTTCTAGACTATAAAATGCTCTCTTTCATATTCCACTTTTTAAAAAAAATCCATTTCCTTCCAGACCAAAATTCTTTCTTTTCTTTTCCACTTTTTTATTTCTTTCCTTCCAGAATATTCCATTTTCTTAAACAGATATAATTTCCTCCCAGACTGGAATACTCGGTGGACTTTTGTTTCTTTCTTTCTTCCTGTTTTGCCTTTCTTTCTTTCTTTTCTATTCCATTTTCTTTTTTTTTCTTTCCTCCAAACTAAAATTCTTTCTTTTCTATTCCATTTCTTTTTTATTTCTTTCGTCCCATACCATAAAACGCTTGCTTTTAATTCCACTTTTCTTAAAATTCCCCTTCCTCCCAGACTCGAATACTCGGTTTTCTTTCTTTTTTTTCTTTTTTGCCTTTCTTTCTTTCTTTTCTATTCCATTTTCTTTTTTATTTCTTTCCCTCCAAACTAAAATTCTTTCTTTTCTATGCCATTTCTTTTTTATTTCTTTCCCTCCAAACTAAAATTCTTTCTTTTTCCTATTCCATTTCTTTTTTGTTTCTTTTTAGACTATAAAACGCTTCCTTTTAATTCCACTTTTCTTAAAATTCCTCTTCCTCCCAGACTCGAATACTCGATGGACTTTTCTTTCTTTCTTCCTTTTTTGTCTTTCTTTCTTTCTTTTCTATTCCATATTCTTTTTTATTTCTTTCCCTCCAAACAAAAATTCTTTCTTTTCTATGCCATTTCTTTTCTATATCTTTTTTTCCTTTTCTTAAATTCCTCCTTTTCTTTCTTTCTGTTTTCCTTTTTTGCTTTTCTTTCTCTCTTTTCTATTCCATTTTCTTTTGTATTTCTTTCCCTCCAAACTAAAAAAAAATCTTTTCTATGCCATTTCTTTCCTCCCAGACTATAAAGACTAAAAAATTCCACTTTTCTTGCTTTTTTTCTTTCTTTTTTTTTTTTGCCTTTTTATTCCATTTTCTTTTTTATTTCTTTCTCTGCAAACTAAAATTCTTTCTTTTCTATGCCATTTCTTTCGTCCCAGACTATAAAACGCTTCCTATTAAATTCCACTTTTCTTAAAATTCCCCTTCCTCCCAGACTCGAATACTCGGTGGACTTCGGCAACAGCTGGCGCCTGGTGAGGGAGGCGTGTCTCCCGGGGAACACCAGCTGTGCGGAGGTCACGGACGCCTCGGTGTACTACGCGCCGCTCAGATGGCACCGATTCGTGTACCCTCTGGCGCACGTTGGGCCGGCCAGGTGGGTTGGCGGGGTGGGGATGGGGTGGGGGAAGGGGGTGAAGGGGATAGGGGTGGCCAGTGGGTGTCGGGGGGAGTGGGGAGGGGTGGCCAGGTGGGGTGTTGAGGGGAGTGGGGGAGGGGAAGGGGGGAGGAGGAAAGGTAGGGGTGTGTGGGGAGAGGGGAGGCCAGGTTGGGTGATGGGGGGAATGGGGGAATGGGAAAGGGGGAAGGGGAGGGAGGCTGAGGGTAAAAAGTGTTCTTTATGTTCTAATTTTTTTCGACGATTCCAAAGAAATGGAAATCAATCCCGCTCTGAACGGCCATTGAACATCGCTTTTTTTTCTTCTCTTTTTTGTCCTTTTTTTACCCAACAAAGCAAAATCAACTACATCTCTTGTGCTGTGAAGAGATCCATTCTCATCCCTTTTCTACATTTATCAACCTGACTCCGGTCCCATCCCTCCGTCTGCCCCGCCCAGGTACGTCCGCTTCCGCTGGCTTCAGGCGCCCTCGCACGACGTCAGCGGCGCCCACCGGTGGTCCCTCCGCGACGTCTACATCGGCAGGTCGTGTCCCAAGCACTGCCTGGGCCGCGGGTCGTGTCTGTTCGGGGCGTGTCGCTGCGACGCCCAGTACGCCGGCGACCACTGCCAGCGGGTCGTCGTCGATAATGTGGTAAGATGGGGTCGTCGGTCGAGTTTCGTTTCATTTGTTTTATTTAGTCGGTTGGGTGTTTTTTCGTTTGTATTCTCTGGTGGGTGTTTTTTGTGTGCCGTACATGTGGGTTTCAGGTGTTGTTTTATCTTCTTTGTTTATGATAGATGTAGAGGAATAGGAATATGGTCATCTGGAATCATCGTTTTTGTCTTTTTGTTCTGTAGACGGCGATTTTTTTATATTTCGGTTATGTATATATTTTGTGTTTCCTTCCCCGTATGTATTGTTCCTGTTTTCCTCGTACGTTCATGAGACCCCTCCCCCCCGGCAGCCCTTCATCCGCGACGAGTTCAGCGAGCGCGCCTTCCGGAGCCACTTCCAGCAGGTGCAGGGCGCCCTCATCTCCGAGGGCTGCGGCGGGCTGGAGGTGCCGCCCACGGCCACCTTCCAGGGCGCCCACACCCGCCAGCTCCTCACCCAGCCCGTGGACACCCGCAGCGGCAAGTTCGTGTACTTCGTCGCCCAGATCGGCAGCGCCCACGGCAGCGGGGTGTGCGCGAGGGCGGCCCACCGGCACCACAACGTGTTTGTGCAGTACTCCGTTGATGGAGGTGGGTTGGGGGGGAGAAGGGGGAGGGGGATGGGGGGAGAAGGAGGAAGGGTGGGGAGATGGAGGGGAGGGGGAGAGGGTAGGGTGAGGGAGGAGCAAGGGCTTTGGTGAAGGGAGGAAGAAGGATGGGGAGGGTAAAAGAAGGGAAAGGGAGATATATAGATTGATTGATTGGTTATTTTAGATATTTAGATAGATAGATAGAGACAGATAGATAGATAGATTGATGTACATATAGATAGATATATAGATATAGATAGATAGACAGATAGATAGATAGATAGACCCATAGCAACCAGATTCTCTCTCTCGCCCCACGCCCACCGCCTCTTTCCTTCCAGGCATTCGCTGGCACCTTCTCCGGGAGCTCGACCACGAGCTGTACGTCGACCCGCGCGAGGAGTACATCGTGCTACCCAGTCACGCCCGGAGCCCCGCCACTGTGTTCAGGTAGGGTGGGCGGAAGGGGGGTGGGTGGAGGGAGGGGGGTGTAGGGTGGGTGGAGGGGGGGGTGTAGGGTGGGCGGAGGGAAGGGGGTTGGGTGAAGGGGGGGGGTGAAGGGGAAGGGGGGTGTAGGTGGGGTGTGGGTGTAGGGTGGGTGTGTGTGTGTGGGGGGGGGGCATGTGTGTGTGTAGGGGTGGGGGGAGGTATGTGTGTGTACGTGTGTTTGGGGGGGGGGAGTGAGTGGTGTGTGTGTGTGTGTGTGTGTGTGTGTGTGTGTGTGTGTGTGTGTGTGTGTGTGTGTGTGTGTGTGTGTGTGTGTGTGTGTGTGTGTGTGTGTGTGTGTGTGTGTGTGTGTGTGTATCTGTTTATATATCTTAATTGCTCTTACTTACGCATATACATATACCCATACACCTTAAAATAATTATCACATCATCCCTCTCCTTTCTCCCTTCTTCCCCCTCTCCTCTCCCCCTCTCCTCCCTCTCCTCCCCCTTCACCCTCCCCCCTCTCCCCTCTCCTCTCCCTCTCCCTCCCCCTCTCCCCTCTCCCTCCCCTCCTCCCTCCCCCTCTCCCCCCTCTCCTCTATCCCTCCCCTCTCACCCCCTCTCCCCCTCCCCCCCCTCTCACCCCCTCTCCTCCCCACAGGTTCTGGCAGCCCCGCCCCTCCCCCCCCCGCCTGGTCCCTCGACGACCTGTTCATCGGCGGCTCCGAGATCAGCGCCGCCTCCCTCCTCGACCGCTTCGAGGGCGACCCCGCGGTGAGGCCCCTGCGGCTGCCTCTGCTGGGGGGGCGCTGCTGTTGGGTTGCTGTTGTTGTTTATTATTATTGTTTGATTATTATTTGTTATTTGATTATTATTGTTATTGGATTATTATTTATTGGATGATTATTTGTTATTATTTATTTGTTATTGGATAATTATTGTTATTGGATTATTATTTATTGGATAATTATTTGTTATTGGATTATTATTATTGTAATTATTGTTATTGGATTATATTTTATTGGATAATTATTGTTATTGGATTATTATTTATGGATAATTATTTGTTATTGATTATTTTATTGGATAATTATTGTTATTGGATTATTAATGTTATTTAATTATTGTTGTCATTTGATTATTATTGTTGTGAATGGTAATGATGATAATGTCGATAATGTTCATGATGATAATGATGATAATAAACAACATGATGTTAATGATTATGATAAGAATATTGTTTTTATCATCATCATTATCATTATTATTATTATTATTATTATGACTATTATAATTATTATTATTATTATTATAATTATTACTATTATTATTATTACCATTATTATTGATATTACAAGTTCCAGTTAGAAAAATCTTACAGTTAGAACAATTATCTTGCTTACATTGTTTTAGTGATAATAATATTACTGTCATACACTTAACAAAATAATTAGACCCCCCTTCAAAACCCACCCGTTTTCTCCTTCCCTACCCACATACCCACATACCCACAAATCCACATGTCCACAAATCCACATACCCATTTATCCACGTACCCACATATCCACATACCCACGTACCTACATATACCACCCCACGTACCCACATACCGTACCCACATACCCACAAACCCACATACCCATTTCTCCACGTACCCACATACCCGCATTCACCCTCTGACCTTCCCCCCCCCCCCGCAGGTATCCGAGTGGCTGTTCGCGCCCCACAGCGAGGCCCACAGCGACTACTGCTCGAGCGGCACCAACGGGTCCCTGGTGTGGGGTCCCGAGAGCCCGGGGCGGAGGGCCATCACCACGCAGGAACTCATCGTCTCCGAGGGCCACGTCCTGCAGTTCAAGGTGTGGAGGGGGGGGGGGAGGGAGGGGAGGGGGAGGGGGGAGGGGGAGGGGGAGGGGAGGGGAGGGGAGGGGAGGTAGAGGGGAGGGGAGAGGGGGAGGGGGAGGGGGGGGAGGGGAAGGGGGTGGAGGGGGGAGGGGAGAGGGGAGGAGGGAGGGGGAGGGAGGAGAGAGGAGGGAGGGGAGGGTGGGAGGAGGAGGAGGTGGAGGTGGAGGGAGGAGGAGGGGGAGGTGGAGGAGGAGGAGGAAGTGGAGAAGGAGGGAAGTTGAAGGGGGTGGAGGTGGTTGAGGAGGTGGAGGTGAGGTTGAGGTGGGTGTGGAGAAGAGGGGTAGGTGGAGAGGAGGGAGGAGGTTGAGGAGAGGGTAGAGGGTGTAGGGGAGGGGGATGGGGAGGAGGAAGAGGAAGAGGAGGAGGAGGGGAGTGCTGGTGGTGTTCTGTTACTGCTACTACTATTATTATTATTACTATTATTATATATATTTTATGATTATCATATTATTAGTGTTTATTGCTTTGTTCTTGTCGCTATTATCATTATTGTTATTATCATAAAATCATCATCATCATTATTACTGTTACTATTATTATGATTACATTTTGGTTCTTGAGTACACATAATTCTACGGACATTTAACGCCCGTTTCATTTACCAGTTGGCAGAAATTCTAACTCGTATACGTGAAAATGCCTAGAAATACATTCAGAGATTTTTTTTAGGAAAAATTATAAATCTACTCCAGATAAATAGCTTAGAACGTCCTTTTTGTCATACTTTTACCAAAACCTGTTTTTTTTATTTATGCTATTATTATTATAATCATTATTATTATTATTTTGATTTTGATTTGTTACTATTACTGCATGGTTATTATCATTAATGATATTATCATTATTATTCTTATTACTTGTTATTGTTTATTATATTATTATTGTTTGTTGTTGTTATTATTGTTACTTTTACTGTCTTTTTTGTCCTTTTTCGACAGACATTATCATTGATATTATTATCATCATCATCATTATCATCATATGCTTTCTGACAGACGACCCACCCATCCCAAAATACATATACCCTTTTCGCCCCTTCAGATATCAGTCGGGTGCGGGACAGTGGAGCAGGAGTGTCGGTACAGCCCTGGCGTTCGTCTGGAGTACAGCCGAGACGGTGGGGTATCAGGCTGGGATTTGGTACGCGATCTGTGCCTCCCTGGTACCTCCCCTGACCCCGACTGCCTGCCTTATACTTTCCACTCGCAGTCGGTGTACTACCCTGATACCCATACCCGCTGGATGAGGGTTACCATTCCTCTGCCTGAGAAGACGTGGGCCAGGTGAGGACAGAGGAGAGGTAGAGTTAATTACAGGTGCAGGTGAGGGTAGAGTTTTTATTTGGGACGAAATAGATACAGTTACAGGTGAGACGAAATAGATACAGTTACAGGTACAGGTGAGGGTAGAAATTGATACAGTTTTTTTATTGTTTTGAGTACAGTTAGATGGGTACGGTTACGCTTACATGGGTACGGTTAAGTTACATTTGAGTCGGTTATTAAACTATGAGAGGAAATGGATAGTTACAATTACAGTTACAGTTGTTATGTGAGACGAAAATCATACAGTTTGAACCGTATTCATGTTGACAAATGGAGAAAAAGGATGCATGAGAATGAATATTTTTACATTACAAGAGATGCATTTGACAGGTTTCGAATCTATTTTCGTCAGGAATACATGTATTTCTGACAAAGATAGAATCGAAAACCGGTCAGATACATTTCTTGTATTGTGAAGATATTCATTCTCATTCATACCTTTTCTACATGATACAGTTTGTTAGTGGTTTAAGTACAGTCAGATTGAGAGATTCAGTCAAGAATTACTACGGTTATAGTTGAGTTAGAGTTGTTATTTGAAACGAAATTAATAGTTTATTAGTCATTTGAGAATAAAGATTGCGAAAAGCAGCTCAGAATTACAAATGAGTTGCTTTTTTTTTAAACAAAAATAATTCAGTTGAATCAGTTAGGTTGAAATATGACGAATTTATGACGTGACTTTCTTATTTGAATTAGATATATATCGAGACGAATCTGATATTTAATTGATATTGGGATTCCGAGATTGGCGCTGTTCCAGTGACATAGAAAATGTTTGGAGGAATATTTTATTTGAAACGTTTTGTAAACAGCTTTTTAATTTGCATTTGTCTTCTGTACATGAATATACTTTAACACTAAAAACCTATGTATGTATTGCTTATGCATGCTTGCATACGTTTACATACGAACGCATTAAACAACACACACATACATACACAACACACATACACACAACACACACATACACACACACACACATACACACACACACACAACACATCACACACACACACACACACACACACACACACACACACACACAACACACACACACACACACACACACACACACACATACACACACACACACACACACACACACACACACACACATACACACACACCACACATACACACACACACATACAACACACCCATACCACACGCAGACACACACCTCCCAGCAACCCCCACCTCTCCCTAACTACCCCCTCTCCCCCCTCCAGCACGACGCAGCTCCGATGGGTTCAGGAGGTCAGAGGTCAGGGCAGCAAGGTCACGCCCTGGTCCCTGGACGACGTGTATGTGGGCGAGGCCTGCCCTGACCACTGCAGCGGCCACGGGGACTGCGTCGACGGCGTCTGCACCTGTGATGCGGGATACGAAGGTGGGTGGTGGGTCGGCTGGGGGTCTTCGGTGGGTCTTGTCTTGGTGGGTCACTGGGTTAGAGGTGGGTTCATGTGGGTCTTTGGTGGCTTAGAAGTGGGTTCATGTAGAAGTTTTTCATGTGGGTTTTCAGCTTGAGGTGGTTTTCAGTGGTGGTCTTGGTGGTCACTGGGTTAGAGGTGGGTTTTCAGTGGGTTTTTGTCTTTAGTGGATCATTGATGGGCCTGTGGGTCAGAAGTGGGCCATTGGTGGGTCTTCGGTCTTATTCTATCTTTATCAGAAGTATTAGTCGTCATAATAGTTTATTTATTATGAGAAATAACACTGATATTAATATTGTTGTCACGAATACTTAACATTTATTCCATCCTTCGTTAATTCGCTTCGTCTCATCCATTCCTCCATTAAATCTCTTTCATTCCTTCCCATCCCTGAACCCTGCCTTCCCACCCCGCCCACCGCAGGCGAATCCTGCGAGATGACGCCTCTCGCGCCACGCCCTGCCCACCAGCCTCGTGGACGGGTTCGAGGGCGGCGTGGGCGCGAACTGGCAGGTGGTGAGCGGGGGCGGCGTGGGTCTCGGCTGCAACTCGCTCGCTCCTTACGGACACGGGAAGCACCTCTACTTCTCGGGCTGCGGGACGAGGCAGGCGGTCACGGCCGAGATGGACACCAGGAGGGCCAGGTGCGTTTTGGGGGGAGGGGATGGGGGGGGGGAGGGAGGGGAGGAGGGAGGGGAGGGGGGGAGGGAGGGGGAGGAGGGAGGAGGGAGGGGAGAGGGGAGGGAGGAGGGGTGGGGGGAGAGGTGGGTAGTGGGTGGGAGGAGGGAGTGTAGTGGAAGTGAGGGAAAAGTAATTGGATATTGAGTGAGGATGGG